TACCTTCTCCGTTTGATCAATGCTGCACTCAATGATGAACTATTCTTCAGCATTGCAAATCACACCCTCACAATAGTTGACGTAGATGCAATTTATGTTAAGCCATTTGACACAGACACTATCCTCATTGCCCCTGGACAAACCAGTAATGTTCTTCTAAAAACCAAATCTGATTACCCCAATGCCACGTTCTTGATGAGTGCAAGACCATATGCGACTGGCCAGGGAACTTTTGACAACTCAACAGTTGCTGGTATCTTGGAATATGAAGTTCCACCACACTCTCTTCATTCAATAGAGAAGCTTTCACTCTTCAAGCCCATCCTCCCAGCCCTTAATGACACTTCTTTTGCAACAAACTTCTCTAACAAGCTTCGTAGCTTGGCAAGCTCTCAGTTTCCTACAAATGTTCCACAGAAAGTGGATAGACACTTTTTCTTCACAGTAGGCCTTGGCACAAGTCCCTGCCAACAAAACCAAACATGTCAAGGACCCAATGGAACAAAATTTGCAGCATCAGTGAATAATGTGTCTTTCACACTCCCAACAACTGCTCTTCTTCAATCCCACTTCTTTGGCCAATCCAATGGAGTTTACTCTCCTTACTTTCCTATTAGTCCTTTGATTCCATTCAACTATACTGGCACTCCACCAAACAACACCAATGTGAGCAATGGAACAAAGGTTGTGGTTGTTCCCTTCAACACAAGTGTAGAGCTTGTGATGCAGGACACCAACATTCTTGGTGCTGAAAGTCACCCTCTCCATTTGCATGGCTTCAACTTCTTTGTTGTTGGTCAAGGTTTTGGTAACTTTGATCCGAATAAGGACCCTTCTAACTTCAATCTTGTTGACCCAGTTGAGAGAAACACAGTGGGAGTCCCTTCTGGTGGATGGGTTGCAATTCGTTTCTTAGCTGATAATCCAGGTCGCTCACTTAATTCGGTTCCTTAATTTCTCATTTACATATGATAAAAATATAAATAAAGAAGAAGAAGGTACTTTGTCTAAGATAGACATAGTTGTCATAAATAATACATTCCTACACATAAGAAAAGACATTGGACATAATTATTAGGACTAATTAAAATTATCATTATTTTGGTGATTTGAACCTTTACTAACAATTATGTTGTATGCACTGAATGCAGGGGTATGGTTCATGCATTGCCATCTTGAAGTGCACACAAGCTGGGGTCTAAAAATGGCGTGGATTGTCTTGGATGGAAAACTTCCACACCAGAAACTGCTTCCACCACCTGCTGATCTTCCAAAGTGTTAAACATTCACTATAGGAATTGCGGCATAACTTTCGGAATATGTTGTTTGTCTTGTGTTTTTAATTTTATTTTTATTTTTTTTCCCATTTTTTATTCTCCTTCAATTAATGGCCCTTTTTGGCATTCTTCGTGGGCTAACTGACT